TTGATAAAATATACGTTTTGATTTAATAGTCTTTTAAAAGTTTTTACTACACAGTTGATTTGATGCATTGTGGAATCAGTTTCTAAAGAAAACAAAAGAAATCCGCCATGTTTTGTCCCTCCCAAACATATCCTACGATGCATTGCGTATACGGCGCATTACGTAAAAGGGAACTATAATACAAAGAATTCATAAGTGATCGCTTAATGGAGGGTGGACGATAAATAGAGGTCACGTTGAACGGTAAATATATATGAGAATCGACTTTTGAGGAATTCATAAGTGACAGCTTAATGGAGGGTGGACGCTAAATAGAGGTCAAATTGAACTGTAAATATATATGAGAATGGGGAATTCATAAGTGAGGGCCATTTGACAGAGGTTCGACTCTAGTCCATATTTGAAAGTATCAGTAATTCCTACCAGTGAAGCGTTTCTCAATCGTGACGCAATGTTCACGGTATCACCAAACAGACARTACTGTGGAGTCTTCTGTCCTACTAGTCCAGCGGCTGCTGCACCGGAATGGATACCTTATATTCAAAAAACAAACGGACACAGTTAAGAGAACTGAATATAAGTTGCGTTGTCACTTTCAAGTATAATAGTCTCCTTCACGGTTAGGTGCGCCATCTTGAAAGGTAGCCGTGCCTTAACAACGAAGCTAGACAACCGTTGAGCGTGCAATGATAGAAACCTTCTTTCACACCTAAGTCAATTATTCACAGGTTTCTATCATTGCACGCTCAACGGTTGTAAAGTCTTTTTTTTAATTTTTTTTTATTTTGAGAGGGTAGCACGTAATAGTCTCTAGACTAATAAACTTGTGGCCCTCTATATATTCACTCATACTCACTACCTCAATATTCATTATTTTACTACACGACACTCCTCACAGCTAGTTTTTGACTGAGGGAGGAAAACCAGCGGACCTGGAGAAAAACCCTCGGAGCAAGGAAGAGAACCAGCTGTCTCGCTTCGATGCAAAGTCACTGCCACCTTTCAAGATTGCTCAGGGACGTGAAGGAGACTATTGATCACAGTACTCTTTCAACTGTGCGACAATAGTGGGCCTGCGGACGATGGAAGCATGCGCGCGCCGTCAGAAAATATCAATATTGTTTTTACCATGCGAGGCAATATTGGATCATGCATTACCTATTGTTATTGTTAAACTGTCCCTTCCACAATCTTTCTTAAACTGGGCCATGGACTCGATCATATCCAATGCCATTGCCGCCATTGGTTCGGCGTGACGTTTCTTTCGTACTGGAGCACCGCTGACCGCCATATAAACGGCGTCTCCCAATGTCTCAAACTATTAGAAATAAAGAAGAGCTTTGGATGACAATGAAAGACTGGTCGTATCATGAATACTGTCGCAATCTTGAATTATAAAATACTACGGGATGTCCAGGAGGCAATAACGTTGATAGTCTCCTTCAAGGTTACCTGCGCCATCTTGAAAGATAGCCGTGCCTTTGCATCGAAGCGAGACAACCGTTGCGCGCGCAATGATAGATACCTGTGTATAATTGTCTGTAGGTGCGAAAGAAGGGTTTCTATCATTGCACGCTCAACGGTTGTCTCGCTTCGTTG